TTAACTTCCTCTTAAAAACAAAACATTAATCAGAATGTTCCTCCCCTAGACAAAAGGGTACTGTTACAATATTACACAGTCTACAATCCGTACAACACTCATAGTATGGCGGGTACCGACAAGACACAAAAGAGTTTAGCTAGTTTTATTAAATAAATATGTCATAGCGTACGCATTGGACAACAAAAAATTGTTTCAAGATGCCGCTGAGTCTCAAACCTTCAAAAGATTACTTCCTGTAGCTGTAAGATGTTAAACCAGACGAGGCCCAATAAAACAACTGTAGTGGGTACATATGTGCATTACACCCAGTAGGATTTCACAAGCTATCCTCACCTTGTAAATGTCTATTGAAAAAGTTTTGATTTTTGCAAGTATTAGACGGAATTAAAACAAATTATCGCCTAGCGTTCGCGAGGTCGCGCTCTATCTGTTGGCTGATGACAATGCGAGCCTACGCTAACTGTTGAACTTTGTAGAAAAGGCTTTTTCACCTTATATCAAGTCTCTGAACAACTAATCCTGTAGCTGACATAAACTCCTCCATCGGAAATGATTTCCTAGATGTAGTAAAAAAGGGTTTTAGACTAAGTTTCGGAAACAAAGAAAATCAAAGCATAAGCAAGTGTAAGGGTGTTAATGGTTTTGCAGAACTCAGCAACCTAGTTGACAACAAGCAGTAATAACTAATTGACGCTTGCAAAATGATTTCTGTTAGATTCTGGTGCTCAGTGGACGTTTTAAAAAGACGTAATTATGTACCGCTATCCGAATATATTTAGTGCACTAATGACACTCGAGTCCCTACAAACAGTAATAGTGTACACCGCATTTGTTGTGTTACTGAATTTCAGGGATTGTAAAATTTGCTAAATGTTTATGCAAACATTGGGCAAAAACGTTATTTTAGCTAATTTTTAAAGGATAAATGTAGCTGAATCGTGTTCACTGCTCATAAAAATGATAACTATTTGGGCCATTAAAGCGTTGAATTGAGTCAGTTTTTGTTAGATAACCGCTTAGGTATTCATTTATATTTTGAGATTTACGACATGATGCACAAATATAGCAAAATTCGACGACTACCGGCCGACTAAGGCATAGTGCTGCAAAACAGATACAATGTTTGATTGACCCAATTGTGGAAAATTTGCGGTCTCGGTGGGAATCGAACCCAAACAGCAGGGAAGACTTCTGCGCAGCCAATGCTCTAGCATTGAGTTACGAAGCGCTGTTAGAGCGTTGGCTGCGCAAAAGCCTTTCCTGTTGTATGGATTCGACTCCCACCGAGGCCACGAGTTTTTTCACAATTGGGTCAACTAAATTAAGCAAATTTACCGAACCCCTTAACAATATCCAATGTTCTCCAAAAATTACTCAATTAATTTCAAGATCCGAAGTGCAAGTAGCATAGCAGGCTCGTTTTAAAATTAAATATGGATTGTTGCACGCTTGAAGACCTAAAACACAGAATTGGGATGAATCTTAAGATGTTACTTTCTGAAAAATCTAATAACTAATTGTTTTATTAAATTCTGGATAACGATGGCCTGAAATGTCCCTTACCCAAAACGTATTGGAACGGAAGAAGATGCAAACACAGTAATAAGAGTATTATTTTCCGTATGTTTCGGATTCCATCCGAAATCGTTAATCGTGCGTAATGGTACAATAGTCTGAGTCATGCACAGATAGGAGTGAAATACGCACAGATTGAACGCTATGGATAGTTCGTAGCGGTCATTTGCGTGCGTACTACAATTATCCACACCTGTAGCCACCGCTTGGGTCTTAATTGGTGCGGTACTGGCTTGACACTGCGTTCGACTCATTAATTGCCGCGAATTCCTTGTTCGTGTCGGATGCGGGTTTGGTAATTGCGCGACAATTAAGCTTGCTGTCGTCAGAGTTGTTGTTGGGCCCGGCTCTTCCCACGTGACTGATTCTCTTGCTCAGGCAATGTTTCAGTACACAGCAGGGAAATGCCAAATCGTTGCGCTTGTTAATGGACTGGGAACCTGAGAAACATGACTCGAGCAGCTCGCAACTCACACGGTTGTCACCTCTTGCGAGGATTTCAGTCTCGTTAAACTTGAAAATATGGCCGGGTCCCGTCAAGTTAGCTGCAACCTGGGAGTTTGCGTCTTTCTTCCTCAACGCCGCTGAATGCTTGGCCATTCGCGTCCGCAGTAATCTCCCGGTTTCTCCGACATAGTTGCATTGTCCACAGCTGCACCAGATCCGGTAAACGACTCCAGCCGTTTCCTGCAATGGCTACAGGAGTGGATAATTATAGTACGCACGCGGATAAACGCTACGAACTATAAATACCGTACATGTTTCACCCCTATCTGCGCATGACTCAAGCTATCGTACCATTACCCAGGATTAGGGATTCCCGACGGAATTCGACACGTCAGGAAAAAAAACTCTTATTACAGTGATCGTATTTTCTTCTACTGAGCTGCTTCCTGGCATTCACATATTCACTTCTATTGGTAGTGGAACGTTCAAAGGTGGTTGTGTGGATTCTTATCCAAAAGCCAGCATATCAGTAGACATTAGACACTTACGACGTATCTTGCATACTACAACATCATTTACGGAAGACTTTTAATCCCGTTTTACATTTTCGATTAGTATTCCCCTTTTTTACCGTTTATGTATACAAAATTGCTACTAGTTGTTTGGTAACGAAAACCATGAAGACCCATCCTACAAGTTAACCTTTAGAGTTAAATCATCTCCTGGACACGATCACAAGCTACAAAATCTGAAAGTTATTTAACTGAATGGTCGATGCGCGTGTTTAAGAAGGCTAAGGTCCATCCGTCAAAAACAACTCTTATCTTAAATTTTCATGATAAAGCAACTTAAATTTTTTCAAAAATTGAGTTTTATTCATAACAAAAAGCCTATGATGCCAAGTCCAAACTGTCAAGCACTTTGCAGAAGACTGCTTGCTGACGCCAATGTCCACTCTTCAACATGAATTAAAAAGTAGTAATTTCAAGAAAATTACTGACATTAAAAAGCCTGTGTCAGCCCAGGGAATAAAGCATGTTTGAACTAAAAGCAAAATCTTCATTTGTCAACCTCTTAGTGACATGATTTGAATTCAAGTTAGATGGGGGAACATCCTGTGTTTAACTATGACGCAGAAAGAGACATGCCAGTTTTTTATCTTTCCAAAACCACTTTAATCCTGTCTTCATTTTAATTTAATGTCGTTTTTCGCTGCGTAGCCATTCTTCGTTCTAGTCAGATCAGTTGAACAGCAGACATTTCATGCAAAGATTCACGAATGAAGTAGGTTTTGCATCACCTTTATCCACGCATGGAGATGTAGGGGGAAAATGTGCAAAGCGGAATAAGTATACAGGTCACTTCGACAAACCTGCCATCCAACTCTAGGGCTTCTTCGTCCTGTAGAGCCGCCTCCAGAGCAGCGATGACTTGGGGAGCTAGTTGCGGAGGTTCGTATTCCAGAGTTGTTCGACAGGGCAGATCGAGGTCTAGGGTAAGGATGTTCTCACCTCGGTACCTGGGATTGGCTTGCATTCTGCTAGCCAGGAGAGCGAACCGACACGTGGGTCTTCGACTGCCCAAAGCGGGTTTGAGGCAATAACTTGAAAAAAAGAATGTGTTACCTGTTTCAAAAGAGTTTCAGTTATGGGAGATTTGGACTGCAAAAAACGGACTCAGTGACGAGATGAATGTTTTAAACGCCTTATAAATTGCTTATGCAGCGCGAACTATTGCTCCTAAATCGCCGTAGCACCTTGTTTATTTCTTGCAGTCTCTTTATGACAACCTCCGTTGCCTGAAAAGTACCGCTCTGAATGGTAAAAAAATTCACTTTTACCGAATAGCTCTATTTCAGAACGACTGTACCGCATTCCGTGATCAAACCAGATGGAAGACGATCGCTTTTAAAGGTAAATTGCAGTAGTAGGAAAAGACCATTATCCTTAAATACATCGACAATAAGCCAGTGTTCTTTCGAAAGAGAAACCAGAAAAGAACGTCAGTATTGATCAGATTAACCATTTTTATTATCCCTCACAGCATCAAAATGCTGGCCAAAGTGCGAAACAAATAACCATCTTTATTTGAGTATTCAGAAGTGAGTTATTATTAAACTATGCTGAACCGCAGTACTTGATAAAAGCATTTTTCTAAGAATTTGACTAAATAAAACCATTGAAGGCACGCTAACAGGACGTCATGCCCAGAAGCCGCAATCAAGATTTGCCAAATTTTTCGATAAAGAATGAAAATGCTCTTCAGAAAAACAACTTTTACGCTGACTTCATCTCAGAAATGGTTCTTCTGGTCAATCAATACTCTACATCTGGCCAAGCAAAATTATACAAGATCATAAAATTCGCACGAATTAAATCAGTTCTGTCACTGAGACAATCGGAAAAAATATCTTATTCGGTAGAAAAAGTAAAAGATAAGCATCATCTCAACTTTCCGAAATTTGCGGTTTGTATTTTCCCGCGGCGAGTCTTACTTTTTTCTGTCCAACTTCTCTACCGTACTTAAATTATGTGAATTTGACTGACAAGCATACGTTTACACCAAATAATGACAATAGGGTTAATTAGATTGTTGATAAACGTTAACTGGATGACTAACGGAAAGATTCCAAGAACAAGGACGAGAGACAAAAAAACCGACTGCTAGAGGAATGAAAAGCATGGGGAAATGGAGGGATGTTATGGAAAGTGAAATGTAAATGCCGAAAGACTCGAGGTCCAGATATGTCATCGCGTTCATCATCTCCCAAAGGTAAGGAAGAAGAAGAGGGGGCGGTCTCATGGACCAAATTGTATTTGAACTGACGTTTCGAAAACCTTCTCGCTTCCATCGTCAAAGTTCAGTAGAGTCAGGTGGTCTTGAGTTAGTCCGTCTTGCCGTTTGCCTCAAGTTATATTGGTGTTGGGCGTGTGAACTTTGACCTGTGAATTTGACCTTTGAAATGTATACCGAAATAGGTCATCCGTGATGCTTTAGAAACCAGTTATGTTTTCTGTTTCGAGGTATACGAGACAGTAGCAAACAAGTATCATCAGTGAAGACCACAATATTTAGACAACAGCCATATGCAACAACTGCGACCCTACAAGGTGCAACGTGGTAGACGTTCTGAACCAACGTGGGAGCAAATCAGGGCATGAAGTACGTTATAGAGAATGCGCTCCAATAAAAACTGTCACAAACAGTGGCTGAAGACGTGGTTGTACGCCCTGGTTCAAACTCATGCCGCACCCGCCACCTACGTCCGAGCCCGTCTCCGGTCCTCTTGATCCAATCTGGGCGCCAGACCTGAGTGGGCAAGGGAGAAGAGATTGCGGCGGATAGTGTGTAAGTCTAATATCACTATAAACTAGTCCAGGCATATTTCACCTCTCTATGCCTGTAGTGGTCGCTGCCCGCCCGACGCTTGGCCTTATTTCGTGACCTCAACCCGCCTAGACCTCAAGGTGGTAGCAGACTTACTGGTGCGCGAGACACGGACCGCCCACGTCGATTTCTACCCACACGCTGTCGAACCAATCTTCAAGGCAGACCCAGCCAATGAACGCTCTATCTCTCTGGCTACTGGCCTCACTTCTGTCAAACCAGCACCTGGACTTGGCTGGCTCTCCTGGTCGGTTGTATGCTCTCCAAGTCAAATCTATGTTCATCTATTCTTTGTTCCTCTGTGTACACAATATACTATTCCTAACAGTCTGGCCTTTACCGACTTCTCTTCTCTATTAAGAAACCATAGTCTGAAGATCGCAGTTGCTAGGGTTTAACTCACTTAACCTCCTGCGATATACCCACCATGTTTTGGGACAAAAGGTGGACCTCGTCGGAAGCGACACTCGAACTGTCATATGTAAGATCCGCACGAATGAAATCATTATGTTCCCCAGTTTCCGAAGGGCATGGCTACCGAACCGCGAAGAGCACAAATGGGTTTCAAATGCGCATCTTGGTCAGCCGATGGCTTGTCTTTAAGGGCATAATGCAGATGACTCTGGTGAAATTCGTTCAAAAAGAATGTGCACCTCCAGCTCCTAACAAATTGGGGACTTCAAAGGTGCCGCTGCCAACATCCACACAGTGCTATCTGCGCACATTTAAAATTGGATGTGAGGATGTGGAGATCATCCCGAATTTATGCTATGCATTTGCATTCTCTCTTCGAACTGAAAAATCACGCTAGTTGGACAGGATTCGCATATAGTTGTCCTTTATTCCCAGTTCAGCGACTTAGTCCATGCCTATCCTCAGAAACTTAACTGAAAGTCTATAACTTAAGACAGAGTAAAGTTATGAGTAACTTAATGCTGCAGACAAGGCAATGACAAGCAAGCGCTCATAGAACTCTCAGGAGAGGTTTGCTTCATCCAAATGCATTTCCAAAGAGTCATTGTAACTATTTTGATTTACAAATTGTGCTTCATATACGGGGAATTTGTAGGTCATTTTGCGTAGTGAAATCTGTTTAATGACCATGCTACGCACATTTGGCCCCACAAATACACTAGGCCTTCGAAGTGAGCAATAATTTTTGAACATTGAGAAATTTCCGCGATATACCCTGCCAAGTGTTTCCTAGGAAAGAAAATGTTCAATAAAGCCTTTAAGGGTCACCTAAGCAAGACAGAGGAACTGGAACCGCCCACAATGCATGTGGCGTTGCGTCAACTTGTGAGAAAGTTAGGTTTAGGGTTAAGGTGAGGATTAGGGTTATAATTCAGGTTAAAGTTAGGATCAGGATTATGTTAACTGTTGTGGTTTGAGTTCGTGTTAACTGAAGAGTTTAGGTTTAGGACAGAGTTAGGGTTGAGATTAAGGTCACAGTGTAATTTTATGTTATGGATTACGACAAGAGAATACTTACTCCTCCAGAAATTAATTGTAAGGCCACCAATTTTATCCGCGCGGAGCATTACTATTACCACGTCCTGTTTAGGCGGTCATACAACTCACCCGTACCAAATGCTATTCTCACAAAATATCCCTTGTTTCTTCACTTGTGTAGTACTCCTCATTCCTTAATTCACTCGCCGAGCCAACGTCGGTCGGTGTAAAGAGTGTTTCCGACTCCCCGCGTCGATAAAGTCTCGAACTCGCGAACTCTTTGGTCAGAGTCCAACGTTTACACTACCAGCTGCTACGGCTGTTAGGGCCTCTGTCGAGACCTCAGGCAGAACGGGACAGATGAGTACAGTTAGCGGTCGGATGAAAGTTCACCAATGAGTGTCAATATCCCTCGACCTAACCCGGCAAGCTAACGAGCTAGTGGCTCAAGGATTGGGGCGTTTGACTCTGATCAAAGAGATCACGAGTTCGAGGCTCTGGTGATACGCCACTTGGGTCTGTGTATGACTGGATGACGACGGTTAATAAGCCAGAAATGGCCATTCCAGCCTCCCTTGTCGCTGTCCGTAATACTAGCTGCCATTTCTGGTTTATTTACCATTTTAAACCGAACATGCTACATATCCAGGTTGGGAAGGCCCGCTACCAGTTAATTACTCAACAAGGAGCCTACCGAACAAACGCTATCATATGTCTTGTGGTCTAAAAGTGGACCGGCATTCGGGATATTATCTTCTTCAGTATAAAAAGTCTTGAAGTTTGCGAATGGATAAGCAAACAAAATTGCAGTACTGTAAAGGTGGGGCTCTTGCTGGAGAGATGTTTCCCCAGTTAAGTGCAAACTGTAAATAAAATGCAGGATCTGCAGTAACCTTATCACGGTCTGACGGGTGTGGGAGAGAAATTTGACAAGTGCGCAAGGGGCAAACGGGACTGCAAAAGCGTCCGTCAACGGAATATAACTGACTTAGATCAATGGTCAAGTTTAAAGCTCTAAACTAAGAACGAAGATTGTGACTTCCTCAGTTCAGTAACACGATGGTTTGATCATTTCCTGTTTATTCGGCCTGTAAGGGACCTTAACTCAATCGTTGGGACAAGAGCTTTATGCGCCCAATGTTTCGAAATCATGCTCGAACCCATCATCAAATCCGGTCGTTAATTTATTCTCACACAAACTTCCCTTACAGTAACCTTTGCTCGGGAGATTAGAAATCACAACTTAAATTAGCCAATCACCACCAGGTGACAAGTTGTTGGCACCGCAAGTGCTAGGATCAGTGAACAGGGAGCGGTGGTAAATTACCTTCAAATTTGAAGGTGTAAGGTGAACGGGTCAAGCGCGAAACCTAAGCGCTTGCATTCGTCTTCCGCGGCCAATACGCACGCGTTTAATGATCGTAAAGGTGAGGTTTCTGCTGACGTAACGGTGGTTTTAATAAATATTCGGAAGGCCTGGCAAGGTCACGTGTTTGCGGGGGCGAGGGGCTGCGTACGACAGCCATTGCGTGCGTATTTCCCCAGCCCGTCCTGCAGCAGGCACGAACAGTAGCGACGACGGAAACGGAACGGGCGGCAGATGCCTTCTTCGCAGCACTGACAGTCGCAGGGGCCAAGATGCAAAACATATGGCAGCCTAAATTTGCCAAAAAGGGAGGGAGGGGGGACATGGAGCA